GATAATTTAATTCTCTATCAATATAAAATTTAAAAATATTTTATTCAATCAGAGCATCGGGAGGAAATGTATGTATTTTATTGTGACTATACTAGAAGTTTTTGAGTATATCTAATTAGTTCACTGAATAGAGCTCAAAAAATGAACAATGTTAGCATTTCAAACTTTTTAAATATCTATGAAAATAACTGTACTAGAGCAGGTCAAAGTTTGCATTTTTACATTGAATATTGCCATTGAAAAGGATTTTTGTATTACTATTTTATTGTTTACGTTTTCAATGGCAATATTCAATGTAAAAATGCAAACTTTGACCTGCTCTAGTACAGTTATTTTCACTTAATCACTTAAATTAATCAAATTATTTGTGTTTAAGATTAATATACATATTTGTTATACATCTACTATTGCATGATTTTTATTCATAATAACATTTACATTATATACCTAGTAACTTTGTTTTTTATATCAAATATTTATATAATATAATCCAATAAGCTTACAGCATATACAGTAATAAACTTATAAAGATAGTGTTAAAATATTTTAACTCAATTAGTATTTGTTGTGGAAATGGATGCAATGGACAGGCATGCCGTGCATATGGATGTACACACCATACGGTTCCTAAAAATAACAAATAATGACGGCTTAGGCAGCGATGAGGACTGGATGTGCTCGGAAAGGGATCACAAAAATGATGACACACTTGATGTGAACCACTGGGTGCTTACTGTTCATCAGTATGAACAGGTACAAAATTATTTATTCAAAAAAATGTGAGCCCAGTAGTCAAAAAGTCAACGTCTACTCTGTTTTCATACGACAGTATTAATACTTAAAACGATATACTATTGTCGTATGAAAGCGGAGTTTTTGTGCTAGTATATATTTGTTTGATTACTGGGCGCACACATGAATATAATATTTTTATATTAAATTTTAAAATATTAGTTAATATTTTAACAGAATATACACCAAAATCGCGACAAATATCGTAGTGTATTGTCCATTGATATATGCGAAACACATATCAGCGTCGACTTGATTGAAAAAATCTGCCGGTGCTGTCCGGCACTGGAGTGTATCAAACTAACTAGGTCGGTATTTCAGCTTGGTGCCCTTGACTACCTAGTTGATAATATTGCACCAAGACTACTGCACCTGGCGCTCGAGCACTACAGCTACGAAATAGCAAACTTCATTGCAAGTCAAACAATATTCAGTCGCCTATTATCAGGATCAATTAAATTGGAGGAACTAAAACTATGCATAGAAAACATGTGGTGCTACACGAGCTACCTGGCCAACCTGCCGGAAAGCCTACGATTTTTGTATATTAAATTTAATAACTCATTCGAGTGCTCGGGCTTAACTGACCGGGATATTTTGGCATATGATAGCCCCTTGGCTAATATACTGGCGGCGCCGCCAGTATATTAGCCAAGGGGCT